CCTTTCTAAGCAGAGTTGTCATAACTGCAGATCATGTTGTCTTGCAGTGCCACATTCACTTCTAGGCTTTTACTTACTATGGTGAACTTCTCATGAAAGAGATTCTGTGGCTAATTTAAGCCTTCAGTCCACACTGCAATCTTTATATATCCTCAAGCTGGGAAAGAGCTGGTAACCTCTATCCAGAGGGCTCAGTATTGAAAAGAACCAAAAAGAGGAGCATCTAATCATGTTTCATGTCATTGTTACAAGTTGCCATTGTAGCATTTGAAATTTGAAACTATKTAAATAACAAATAAGGGGAAAATAAAGTTTTTCATTTCAAACTTGGTATTTTGCCATAAAAAAAAACCAAAGTGCAATGTCTGTCTCCCAGAAAAGCAAGTGTTTCAATTATCTGTTGTCTAATCAGACCTATGTGGAAACTATTATCKATAGTTTTCAGAGAACATCTGAAAGGGATGAAAGGAAGCCTCTCTCGGCTCTCTCTGTACTGAGAGAAGAAAAACATTACAGCGTGGCTCGAGGAGATCCCACGCCGCCCAAGGCTTGTTTGACACCAGAGTCTTTAAGGACAGAAAACATAAGACAAAGTAAAGTAGCAGTCCRAAGCAGCAGACTAACGTTTGCAAGTGTTTTGTCAAGTTGAAGTATGTGAAGAACTTCCTCTAGAACTAATGTTAACCCTACTCTATGTAAACAAGCAAATTTCYCCTCCTCTTGCTTAATCTCAGTTAGAAAATGAGCTGCAGAAATCTCTGTTTCCTTATTAACAYTCAATAATGTTGGAATCACAAAGTTTTGAGGTATGAATTTAAGAGCTGCAAGACAATTTAGTTCCTGTGATCATTTAGGTAGAAGAAGATCCCACCTGTGTGACATGGACAGCTAGAGGAGAGCTCTGCAGGCATCTGCCATTAATTGCTAGCAACAAAATACTGATTATTAAGAATAAAGTCTCTGCTACAAGAATTCTTTGCTTTTCAAACATTGCTTTGACCATATCCAAGACCCAACCAGACAAAATCCTAAGAAATCTGATCTGACCTCAGAGCTGCCTCTGCTTTGAGCCAGAGACTGGAATAGATGCGTTTCCAAGGTCCTTGAAAAATGAACGATCCAATGACTTTTGTTAAATTATTTTCATAAATATGTGCTTTTATCTGTCATTGCCAAAGGGAAGTTTCATGTACCTTCTCAGCCTGAGAAGCTGAAATGCACAGCCATGTTGCAATACTAAACCATTTTGTAATTGATTAGTGGAACCTGTACCTTTTACTGAAACAAACTAAAAAAGGAATGACTTTGCAAAGGAAGCCTAAAGGTGATCCCTATGTTCTACAAGCAAGGTGATATATAGGTAGGAGGCAGCGACTTCAAAAGTTTCCCKCCAATCCATTAGCACCTCTCTCATTATTAAATCAACAAAACCACTCAAACTCGTCACAGTTCAGAGGCCACTGAGAACAAAAAAAACCTGCTATAACAAGGTGTATGTATTTCCATGATGTTTCAAGAGGTACTGATCCACCATGCTCAGTCCTAAACACTGAACTTTCCCGCAGATTCTCTGCAGAAGGCAATAATTTTAAAAGCCTAAAAAAAAAAATCCAGATTATTAGAGCTAGGGTGGCTTTGTGTATTTATCATCTCTCCAGTTTCCACATCAGGTTTGCTTAGTTTGAGCTGAAAAGGAGTCAGATCTTTCATTTCAGCTCAGRTGAACTGGGTTTTGTCAGTCTTCTGCACTGTTGACTGGAGCAAAGCTCTGCAAGTCAAATGAAGGTCTTACAACTGCTCAATCCCATTAACCTTCATTTGCACAGTCAGGTGTGCCCTTGTTAAAGCTTAATTAGCAAATATTCTGCAGATGGAGAATTACTCCTGCTCCTTTCTCTGTTYTGTATTAAATCCACACTGCCCACACGTTGAGCCACAATTTTAGAAGATACGAAACTTCCCCATACAGGGACAGGCCAGTTTAAAGATGATCTTTCCTATGATGCTTTTTTTGGTGCAGAATGATGCTTGGCTATAACTCACATGAGGGGCTAATGCTCCCTCATCAAACTAGGAAAGACCTGGCTGATGTCAACTTCATTTAGTTGGCCTGACCCAATTCCCATGCTCTGAGTACATCTACCTAGGCAGGCCCACAGTGGTTTTTCTTTGTGGTTCCCGTTGCTAAAGATAATTTCTTAGAGTGAAACTTTACTATGAAGAACTTTAACAGCTTTCTTAAATGGAAGAGACTACCTTCTTCCCAACAATGCACTAAAATGCAGAGAATACTCCTAARGGAGAGTTCTTAACATACATGTGAACTACCAGCTGCATAGCTATACGTTATTTCAATTGTCATAAGGCATCCATAGGAAATATTGCATCAAATTACCTTAACCAGAGAAAAGCTCAGCACTATCTTTCTGTTCAGAGCCTTCTTACTCTGTACTTCATGCAGATATTCCTGACCACTGTACTCCAGCATTATCCTCATTTTCCCCTTCATTTTGCTTTTACAGAAAAGATCTCTCTCACCACTGAAATGCTGCCCCTAACCCTCCCTGCAAAAAATAAAAAACAACCCAAAAACAAAAACAACATTAAAAAAAACCCTTCCAGAATCTCAATACCCCACATGTATGCATACAGCTTTATAGTTATTCCAATTAAGAAACCTTTTTCTGTACAAGGAAACTGCAGGCACTGGCCATGGTGTGGCTTGAGGCCATGGGAAAAAAAAAAGAAATAAAAAGGGAGTTCAAGGCTGACAAGGAAAGTAAAGTACAACATCATTTGCAGCCTACGATTGCTGCTGTACTGTTGACTTGGGCCAGAATGGTTTGAGACCACAAGCAATAAAACATCACACACACCTGCCAAAGATACTATTTTATTGCCAAAGCAATAAAATATTGGCATATGATAACAAAAATACAATTTTTTTCTGATTCATTGGAAAAAATACAGAACAAATACCATTAACAGCTCTCTGTCAAGTTCCTAGCCCTGGAAAGCCTCATTCCTAGGCTGCATTCTCCTGCAAACTGTACAACAGCTTGGAATATCCAAACACAAGGGACCAATGAAGTACTCTTTATCCTCATTTAAAAACATTAACTCCAGGGGAAATTAATGAACAATTCAGTCTCTCTAATCTCCAGAGGAGCCCTCTGAAGAARAAACAGGATTTTGCTGCTGTTCTTCACAGAAGTAACCTGCCTGCAGTCAGGGGTAACATTATCTCMCTGGTACAGCAAATACCTCTGCTCATCTGCAGTGATCAAAAGCTACCTCCAATTACCCTTTGTCACTGCCCTTAACAGAAAGAAAATTAAACCTTTTAAACAGAAAATTAAACAGAAAAAAGTCAAATTACCATCAATTACCATTTTCCTCTGTTCTACCCTCCCTCATGCGATTTTATTTTTCAAGTGCAGTTTGAATATGCATAGTGAAGGAAAAATGTGGATTTGTCATGGTTATCTGATGGAAATTTATCACATTTGGTATTATAAACCAACTCTGACACCACAAGGCCATATACAGCTTACTGGTCTTGTTTACACAGCCCTAAATAATGTCAGATAAACTAAACTGCAATTGCAGCTTTCTCTGGAGTACAGTTAAGATAAAATTTCTGGATGGTAAAAATCAACAAAACCCTATAAATGGAGGAGTGTTTATGGAGTAACTAAAACATGACATGAAAACAGAAAACCCTCATCCAATCCACCCTCATAAATGAAACCTCAAAACCTAATTGTTTTACATAAAGACTCCATGCAGAGGGCTCCAAACTCAGCTCTCACTACAATCTGTGTGTCCTGCAAACACTCAGACATGCACTGAAACATTGCAAACAACTCTCTGCAAGCTCTCATCAGTGTCTTGGTGCAAGGAAACCACAGATATTTTTGCATGAGATGATTACTTTGAAGCATGAGTCAATGGAAGAGAGGTAGATTTTGATCTGTATGTGGTCCATCTCGTTTATGTACAAGATCAACGTCTTGCAAAATATATTAAWCTCATGGCTACCTCTCCCATCACCTTTCACACTTAGAGCTCTCTAAATGGAAATAACTGCTTGCTCCCCCTCCCTTTTAAATCTCTTCCCCTAAAACCCAGGAGTGCATCACACAGACTCGTGCTTTTAAGCACAACACRTGCACAAAACAGTCCTCTGCTAAGGATTCTGATATATAATATTTAATCTAGTGACAATAAAAAAGCCAAACCAAATCAAACCTGCAACTTTTTGGTTTAAGAGAAATTTYTTTTTGCCATTCTAAATAGCAACTGATCATTTATCTAGGAAGGAAAAGTGTAAAACAAAGCTAGTATGCTGAAAGCACTGAAATATCACAAGATTTTGTCTTGTGCTGGATAYTTTTAGGAATTTAAAAAACACGTGGTACACATGGTGGAAAACAGCAAGGTAAACTATTCTCTGGCATATCAGTGCTAAAAGGTAGATATTTAAAGCAATACAATTGACTCTTTTCTCTTATTGTTAGCATCCAAACCCTAACATACAAACAAGTGATAATCAAAAAGTATCCTCATAAACTCACAGAATTTCAGAGGAATAAGATAATCAAGATCATGGGGGTTTTCTCCCCTAAAGAAACAGTGATGTGTATATTCCAGAAACACTTACTAAAAGACAAACACACACACATGTAAGTGAAAGACACCAGCACAAAAAAAACCCACCTTCTGCAGAACTACCTTAAATTCAGTTAAAGCTCAGAGTCATAGTTCCCATCATTTTAGAAAAAGAGAAAACTACCATTTCCTGGGATTTTCAGTCCAGCTCTCAACCCCCTGCTGCCAACACAGCACTTACAGAAGCCCGGGTCTGTCTGTGTGCAGCTCCTCTCCCTTCCCTTCCCTTCCCCTCATCTGCTTTGTTACCCTCCTGGCAAAACAGAGAGCACCCGCTGTCCTTAGAGGAGATGAGAGAACGGGCAATGCATGACATCCRTGCTCCTTACCTTCCCCTTACTCAGAGATTGCACATCCAGCTTCCCTGCACAAGTTACTTGGAGGGTATTTAAAAATAGATGCTGAGAAATCTGAGGAGAACAAAAGCCAAAAGAGTTCAGATTTCCTCTCCTTGATCCGCTTGGTGCTGTTGGCACTAAGGTGAGCATATGATAAGGGGAAGGAGGTGGGATTGTTAGAGAGCATCAAAGGCAGGAGATTGGGAGATGGGGTTCCCTCGACGTAGTGCCCCTTCCTGGCTCCCCCCTTGGCTGGAGAGGAAATAAAATGGAGCCCAGGAGGGAGGGAGAGAGATAATCCTGCAGCTTCATCTGATTAGAGAAACTGGGCCTGTGCAGAGCTGGCAATGYCGCCAGGGAAGCACAGGGAGGGGAGGCAAACAGGGCAGGAAGAGGAGGAGCAGAGGGGGAGGAAAAGAATTGGAAGGGTTAAAGGAAAATTGTTACAGGTATACAAAGAAACCAACTCGTGGGCCAAGGCATCCTGTATGTGTTTAATTTGGACCCTCATATAAAGGTGAAATCGCCAGTAGGAAACACCCACTGTGTCTGGTAATGTGCAGCAATCGGAAAGAAAACAAACTGAACCCCAAGCCCTGAATGCATCAGTGCTGGAGGCATGGACTGGGAACAAAGATGTATCCACGGACTGCAAAGAGTGAGATTGCTTGTGCTGAGCAGGGAGAAGTGGAAAAATCAGTCTGCTACAGATAATTACCCAGCTTATCCCAGACAGGACACAATTTAGAACATATTTTCTGTTGCAAGTCATTTCCAGAACCTGTTACTGAAACACACCTTAGTTGAACCGAAGTGGCTTCCAAAAAGTTTGCATCAGCACACACATCAGGGTGCCCTCCCACAAGGCTCCCACTTGTGCTCTCCCTTTCTCYCTCACCTGGCACAGGCATTTCTGGGCTCACCTGCTTTGGCAACCCCAGCCCGGTGGTACTGCAGTCCAGGGGATCCCACCATCTGCCAGGGGCTGGGTCCAGCCTGCCCTCCCTGCATGYAAACAGAGGCACCGCTGTGTCCCCACACTCAGCCTGACCCCGGGGCACAGGCATGGTCCCAAGGGTGCTGCTGCTGCTGCTGAGCATCCCCCACCCCATCCTCACCCAGCAGAACACCCTGCCTTAGGGTGACAGCATCTATGTCYTCCAAGCTGCCAGGTGTGGCCTGTGGGGCATCAGGGAACATCAARGACAGATGAGAGCAGGGGAGTCTTGTCCCCATCCAGGGTGGCCCATTTTTTCAGAGAATCTCCTCTTTCACTCACTTTAGCAGCTGTTACACGCAGTCCTTTCCCAAGCACCACTCCCTGTTTCCACACTGTGAGACGCTTTGATTTCTCCCTGGCCTATTCTGTCCATTTAAAACTTCATACAAGGGAGGATGGTTGGACCTCTAATGGGGCAAGGAGAGGGATGCCAAARCATCAGAAAAGAGCCCTTTCACGTCCTTGTTCTCTCTGTTCAGGAAGCAGTTAAAAATTCTTGTAGACATCTTACAGCAGTTCTGGTTTGTTCCTAAGCCTTCACCAAGGCCCTCCCATCAGGCCTAATTCAGCTGCGAGAGTGGGATCAAGACCCCCCTCCCCCCCAATGCTTTTAGGAATGTACAATTGCTTTCTGAGTCTCCAGAATGGGCTGCAAAAACAGTCATTTCCTATGTGCTTCCAGGCTTTGTTCCTAAGATGCACAGCCCCGCAGACTCACTGAGCCATCTCGCCCTCGGGCTGCAGGTCAGGAAGCATTTCAGGGGTTAGGAGCCACACTCGGGTCAGCAGCAGCTTTCTGGCTGCTTTATTTTACCTGCCATGTATTACAGAAGGCAGGCACTTGCAGTCAGCTCCTTGCCATCCTTCCTGCCAGGCCAGAAGCAGAAGTTCCTTGAACTCTCTACCAGCACATCCTTACCAGCATTCCTGCTGGCCCAGGATGATGTCCAGGAGACTCTTTCCATCCCAAGGGATAGGACTGCAGTGGTGCTGCAGGGAGAGGACAACTCTACAGCTTCCTTTGTTATTCCTGCAAAAGGAATAAATATTCCTTTGGTGGCATGGTGAGGCATGCCCCTGGCACTTGGAGACATTCCAGCATTGTTCCATGGGTGCCAGTGGCCCTGGAGCAATTCATTATGACCCTTCCACTCAACGCATCTTCCAAATGAGTCCCAAGCTGTTGAAATGACATCCCAAGAACATAAAAAACAYACAGTGTGTGGAGAATATTGCACTTAGATTTTCCCCTAAATCTTCTACAGAAAGAATCTGCAGAGCTCTCTTGTCCCAGATTTTCTGTGCCCAGCAAGGCTGACTATTTTCATTGAAAGCACCAAAGTGTGCTTACTGGAAGATACTGGTGACCAGCTTTTACATCAACAGGTCACATATCCAGGCATCCTTAATGATACAATTGGCACACAGCTTTCTCCACTTTCTCATTCTACATTTGATGAGAAAAGATGTAAAACTGCCTCAAATTCGGATTTGGAGAGTTTATTCTGCTATCTTTCTTTTAAAAAGTTGATAGTTAAAAGAAGCTGAGAAATTAGCAGCCTACAGATCCATTAGGCCAAATCCAGACAGTGCTGATAAATTTCCTTTGGGAATAAGGAAAGCATTATTTTTCAAGAGGATGACTTCAGAACACTTCTGTCACTGTGGCTCAGCCTGACTAGAATTCATATTTCCCTGAGAACTCCACCCAGGGTTTAGACATGTGACAACATGTTTAATTTCATTAAATAGAAGTCCTACACCCAGCAATGGAAGAAAGCTTTCAAAATTACTATTTACTGATTTGGGTGCTTGAAGGTCACATGAAAGCAAGCCACCAGCCTCTTGACTTTGAGTCAACCGCATGTGAAGAATGCTCAGAAATCTGAGGAGAACAAAAGTCAAGCTGAAGAAGGGCACCACCAGGCAGAGCTGCCAGACCTGCAGGCCACATTTTGTCAGCTCAGTCTCCATCCAAGCAACCAGAGCTTTCACATTCAAGAAAGGAGATGTCCAGTCCTAACCCAGAAGCCCTTTGTCTAACCTAAAAATCACGCAGGCAATCTACTCCTCTTCMAAGAGGAAATGGGTTAGGAAAACCATCCTGATTGCTGGGTGTGTCCACATGAGACCTAAACCCTTGTCCTGAAGCTCTTCTCTCAGCCCTTCCCATTTACAACCCCACAGTCTTTTCCTGCACTGCCTGCTCTGCTGCCATTTGTTGCATTTTTTCCTGCCAGCTGGGTGACCTGGACCTGCTCAGGCTGTGCCTTCTGAACTCCCCCATCAGCCCTGARCCTGCCAAGCTCTGCTGCTCTTCGGAGGGGCAGGTTTGAGTGTCCACAAACACTGTTTGCAATTTGTTTACATCTCTGTCTGGGTGCAAACCCCAGAAGGCTGATAATTCTCTGTTGACTGAAAGCCCCTGAAGCCAGTGAAACTGCACCTTCCACCAGGCAGATTTTATCTTAATGCATTTCTGGGATATGTTCTAGTCTTCCACAATAAGGCAGCCCTCCAGGAACAATATGCTGTCYTGTGGGTAACACTGCTCATTTGCCTGAATGTCATCTGCCACAGCCAATTTGGATCAGGTCTTGGATATCTCCATTGTAAAGTATTTTTGAGTGTTTCAGAAGAATAACAGCCCCTTAGCACAGTCTGAGAGARCCTTCAAGATAATAACTAATGCACCATGGGCAAATTTAACTTTTTCAGTGCCTATAATCACTCAGAAGCTCTCCACTCCAGATAATACTTGTCCCTTATTGAAATTGGCATTCTGTATCAGTGCCAATTTTCAGGTGTTGTTTACACTGAGATACCCAAAATAATTCCAGTCAGTCCGGTGTAGGAGATAGCATAGCAAGTCAAGGCAACTGAAATKCACTTGACAGTGTTTAAAAACATAAAACTGACCATCACCTTCCATTTGACATAAAAAGCATGGTTATTTCTAACAGAAATCTATAAAGAAAGCAATTCTGTYAGCTAAGCAATATCACATTAACTTGAAACTTTCCAATACATCCCGATTAATCACCACCACCTTCTCTATCTTTTGACATACACACACAAACGGCATTCCATTGGGCTATGTGCCTCATGTCTAACATGTCTATTTAATTTGTCTAGAAACACTGTATATCGAGTTTTGGGTTTAAATGTAAATATATAAACACTATATAGAGTGTTTCTAGCCCACGAGCATCATGACACGTTCTGCTGAAGATAACTGCTGGTTAGACATCCCAGTTCTAGCAGGCATGGTCTCTGAATAAACCTCTGTTTTGCAATTTTAGTTTTCTGTGAAAAGGAAGATGATTTTTGTGGGTTTATCTCATAAAGTCACCATGAAATCTGCCAGGCCACCATTGGGAAAAATGCTGCAACACTACTGACATGACTTTTTTCAAGGAGCAACATAGATGCAGTTCTCTTTTTTGAAGAATTAATCTTTTTGAAAGCTGTCAGAATTCTTAGACCTGTGAGAACTGGTGGTTTGGAGCTCTGTCACCTCCTTTCTTTTTCATCCTGGATATAACAGAGCTGTCTCAAGAAAGCAGACCAGTTCTTTTGCCTTTATTTTACCTTGGCAGTTAGTGAGGCAGYCCACTGATACAATCTCATATATTTCAAAGACTTAGCAAATCTCTACACAGAACTATTTTTAGTTTAGTTATCAAGCAAATAGCACAGTTGATTATGGAGAATGCAAACAAGCTCCCTTTTTTAAGCATGTTTTGTAACAAASCAAAGATGATATTGCACAAAACCTTACATCTCCTCTTAAATCAAGGGACKATCACATGGACACTGCTCTACTTCTCCCAGATTTCATTTCCTCCCATGCACAACCACCAGAAAATCTTCCTTATTGTTCTCTACACTTCCCTAATATCCATTAGCAAAAAGCAATAAATAATTGCACTAAAAAACCCTAACCCTTCAAGCCAGTTTTGGGGTAGCTTTAAGCTGCCTTTCATGCAATAAGGGCTTTGGCCTTTTTGATAATTTAATCACATGTTTAGCTTTGCCCAGCATTTGATTGCTATTTTCCATCTGTTCTGTGCTCCCAACTGGAAAGGAGGCAAGCCAGGACCACGTAAGTAGGCAGGGCTCCCAGGGCCTGCTTCCAGAACAAAGAACCACTACAGAACACCACACTTCAAGAAGTCACATCTAATTCAGTCCTTATGTGACTTGCCCTCTAAGACACTCTTGTAAATTTGGATCTGACCTCTTTTCAAGTCGTGTTCATGTATATACTAAACCTGTCATTTAAAAAAAATTATTTGGTCTTCGGACAATGAAGTATCAGAGTCTGTTCTAGATGTTAACTG